CAGATCAATGACGAGGCAAACATGCCCATCCACAAGTGGGCCGTGACCGATGCCACCTTCAAAACCGGCGGCGGCCGCTACATCGTGGTCATGGCTTTGCGGCTGCTCTCTACCCTCCTCATCGAGGACGTCGACCACTATGCCCCACTCTTCGTCGGACACGCGCATGACACTGGCCCGAGTGCCTGCTGCCTCCAGGTCTTCTGCGGCAAGTGGCACCGCGGCCAGTACTTCAAGGGGGACGAGCACCTGAGCGAGGCGATGCCGAACATCGAGGGGTCCCTCACCCACTTCGCCAAGAAGTTCCCCATCGAGGTCGACCCCAAGCTGGCGCGCATCCGGGACCACTTCAACGCGCTCGACAAGACGTCGCGCTTGCTGCGTGAGGGTGGCGAGGTGACCGTCTGCGGCGGGCCGCACGAGGACAAGACGGTGACGGTCCGAGGCATCGACTGGCAGCGCTGGGGCGGCCAGGTGCTGTGCGCCATCCCCGGGGTTGAGGAGCCGGAGTGGCTGACACTCTCGGTACTGACACCAGGGGTGCCATCTGGCGGCCTCGCAACCCCGGGCGCCAACGCGCCGGCTGCGCCCGGAAGCGCGCGCACCCAGGCGGGGGCGGCGGCCGCCTCCTCGTCCGCCGCCGACGCGGCACTGCCCTCTCCCCACCCCCTCAAGCGCCAGCGCCTCATCTGAGGGCCCCAAGGGAGGAGGCAGCAGTCCTTGAGAGAGTGATAGCACTTGACTTGGGGGCTGCATTGCATGCACGCTCGCACACGCGCGCGCACACCGCAGAGGACACATACACCGCTGAGCGGACAGAGCGGGCGCGGACCCGTTCTTGAGACACAATGTGCACACAAGGAATACACTTTACCATATTTATGGATGCCCTCAATAAGATCTCTCTCAGAGTCTCTCCGCACAGGCTTTAGCTCTGCTGCGCACAGAGCTGTGCGAGCGCCGCTCCACGAAGGGTCAACAATGATGAAGGGTCATGCACAATGAAGGGCGCAGCAGGTCTGGAGCCAGAGAGGCACACAAGCGCACGTCGTGTGCAATCGCGATGCCACAGCACACTGCTCAAATCAACGCGGCGGCGAGATGTCCAAGAGCTTGAAGTGTGCTTGCAGACTCGCCGTCGCGCACGTGTGGGCCCTCTCGCAAGTTTCCATCCTATCCTTTAGCAATAGCGGAGGACTCCCGGAAGATTGAACGACGAAACCACACCTCTTAACCTTGGTAGGTTTTAGGTAGGTGGACAAAGGTATGTGTTTTTCTGCCTCCCCTCCCTAAAATTAGGCGGCCATATCGTGCTCTCATCGGCTAATATTAGGGAGTGCGGGGCGGTCGGGTGTCAGACCTAGCGCTAGCTGACGTATTTTGGACAAACCACGATGGTTAAGAATCGAAAAACGTCGGAAGGTGCGTACACAAACCAGGACCCAAACCGCAAGACCTCGAGGGTGATTTTGGTCCGCCCACGCGACCGTTACGCCCACCAAATAAGGCGGGCGCCACGATTCGCGACTGCGAGGGCAAGGTGTGTATGGAGGCGCTTCCTCGCCTCACTCGCCACACGCCCAGGGCAGAGCTGGGGCGCTATCCACCTCCAGGGCTGTCTGGCTGCTCGCCAGCCAACCGTACGCCCAACTCTGCGCCCGGCGAGTGGGTTTGGCAAATCTGTGGCAAACGCTGGGAAGGCGACGCCGAGACGTACAATAAGTGCGCAAAGGCTTACCGCGGGTGGATCGGCGGCAACAAGAGACGCGTGCAGCAGCGACAGCAAAGCGTCCAGCAGATGGAGGACCACCGAAAGCGGGAGCGTGATCGGTACAGGAACACCCAACCAGATCCCACTCCGGAAGCCGTAGAAGCCGCTGCCGAGCAGCTCGACAAGCCGTGGACGCTGTGCGGCCACATGCCGATCAAGGTGCGGCTCGCAGCAGAGCGCATGCGTGCGGACCGCCATGTCCGCATCCTCACGGAGGATGCGGCTGAGGGCGCAGCTCCGATGGCGGCACTGCCGGAGGACAGCGCCGCTGCGCAGGCAGACGAGGCCTCTTCGCCGGCAGACGAGGCTGACGAGCTTGACCTCGAGCTGCTGCCACCTCAGCTGCCAGAGGAGGACCAGGTGGCCTCAACACCACACCCACCGCAGCTTGGTGCTGACCTGTGCACCGATGGCTGCGCTGACCCTGCTGCCTGGGCTCGCTCGCTTGCCCACCTCCTCCCAAACCGTGGGGCGAGGAGGCCAATCCACACCACAGACGAGCTCTTCGATGCATCACGGAACTACATCGGTGGGCGGCTGGACCACATGCCAATGGCGACTGGCCTGGGGGTCTCTGGCAGGGGTGCCATGGGCTCCTTTGCGTGCTTTCGTGACGACGACCGCGTCCTGGCGTGTGCCGCCGAAGGGTGCTCCGTGCGCTGGCCTGTCGTCTATGCGTGCCAGGCGATCCACCAGCTGCAGAAGAGGACTGGCCTTCGCTACCTCTTTGAGAACGGCGCACCTGGTGCTGAGCTTGTCGCTGCTGTCAAGGGCGAGGGGCAGCAGAGCTGGACCTGCCTCACGTGCGCCACCTTTGCATTCCTGCGCGACGCGGTGCCTCTGATGCGCCGCAACGCGCTCGAGCTGATGGCGCTCCGTGGCTGGACCACAGCCACTGACTTTAGCAGCTTGCTCTGGGAGTCCCCTGGTCTTGCGCTCCCCAATCAGCTCGAGCTTCCTCTTGCGAATGGTGGCCTGCACATCTTTCAGCCCCCGCGTCTGCATTTGGTGGTACTCAACGGCGGAGGCATCAAGCTTCCCACAGCCGTAGAGGCGGAGCAGCTCAAGACCTTCGTGGTCTCTGAAGACGACAGCAACATCTTTGACAGAGCAGTGCGAGAGGTTGGTGTGCGAGGTGCTCCTGGTGATGTCACGATCATTGTTCTGGCTAGCGCCGGCGCGTTTGCACGACTCGTCTCCCACGGGGCTGAGCTCTGCCGTGGCTGGAACAAACTCGTAGGCCAGCCCAGCGCGCTCAGCGCCATGCTGGCAGACACGGCGGTGGCGATGCCTATGGCAGCAATTCGCAGCAGCACCAGCCCAGTCAAGGATGTGTCCACCAACCGCCTCTTCATTGGCGCGCAGATCCTCGCCAAGGTGCACACGCTCGCCAGGCGCCACAACGGCGGACCTAGCGACAGCGGGTGCGCAGTCTGCCTGCGCGCCAGTGTGGCGCTCGACCACATGAAGCTGTGCAAGCCATGCGCGAGGCTGCTGTCGAAGCCCATTGCACCAGAGTCTGTAGCTTTCAACTGGACAAAGGGAGGCCGCATTGGCGCTCTCAACAACCCGGTCCAAGTCGTGCCTCACGAGACGACGTCGCGCTACTGGGGTCAGCCTGACCGGGCCATCGCGCACGGCTGCGCCCTGCTGCCGCCCAACCCGGCTCTCACATCCACAGGACGTGTGGATCTGACCCCGCTGGTGCCAGCGACACCAAACAGCAAGCGGCACAAAGCGGGCGATCCGCTTGTGTCGCGCAAAATCGAGTCGACTTTCCGCAGCCTCAGCGTCTCCCCGGCCGAGCATGACTTCGCGGCGCGGCTGGTGCCCGAGTACGCTTCTCTGCGCAAGCAGCTGGCAAACCAGGAGTTTGAGCTGCTTCTCATCCTGCAGTATGTGTGCCCCCTCTCTACGACGGATGGCCTGTTTCAGCACGATGCTCGCATCTCCAACCTCACCTCGGCCGCCGCCGGGTCCAACGACGGGCCATCGGGTTTCATCGCCGGCTACAGCCGGCTCGAGGTGGAGGCGCTCAAGTACAACACATACGAGGAGCTGCTTGAGGCGGCCATCAAGCCTGGTGGGTACCTCGCAAGGCGCAACTGTGGCACGTACCTCTCCGAGGATGGCTGCGGCACGCATTTCGACCAGTCTGACACCCATGAGGTTGTCGTAGAGGTGTGGGCGGGCGACGTCTGCGCGCTGCCTGATCAGGAGCGGCGCCGAGCGATGGAGCTCGCAGAGCAGCTCGCTGGCAGCCATGGCGCCCGTGTGCTGGTGCCGGATGCCCGTGTGTCGCTCCGCGTCCGCCCGTGCCGCGATGTGATGATCGCGCACCTCAAGGCGTGGCAGCACCTGTCGATCAATCACAGCGTGTTTGGCCGGTACGCCACGGCCGTGCACATCGCATAGTCCTTTTTTACTGCAATTTTGTGTGACAGTATGGACAACACGTGAAGACATGAGTGCGGGAGACGCGAGGGTCGCCCCCCCCCCCCCCCCGCCCCAGTGTTCCTCGGTGCGGCCGCGGAGGCTCTGTGAGTTGCACAGGCCGGTCGTGCGCCGGGCCCTCCTACTCGGCTCCAGCGAGTAGACAAGTCTTGTCATCAACAGAGTAGAAGGATCCAACCTCGAGGCTGATGTGACCAAGCGCTGGTAGCGTGGTTTAACCTCACACCCATGGTCTCACAGTGTGCCGGCAGTCGCCGAGCAGTGTCGCTCACACAAGCCGCAGCACAAGTGACTGCGGGCCAGTGAGGGCGATCCCATCGCTGTCACAGCTGTGGTAGCCGCACGGAAGGCTGTGCCATCTGTGCAGAGCGTGTGAGCAGCAGAGGAGCTGCTCTCCACGCTTCAGGAGCAAAGAGATGCATGCCACCGAAGGCGGCCTCGACGTTCGCCGAGCGCTGCACAGGTTGGAGGAAGCCGCCGCCGACGAGCGTAGAGCGCTGGTCAGAATCCGCTATGGCGGTGACATTGCGCATGAGCTGCGGCCGTGTCGCCGTCGTAGCGGCGAGGCGCGGGACCGTCTGTGGCGAAGTGGGTCGCGTGCCTCGATTTGCTCACACAACTCGGCGATCGAACGAGGCGAAAAAAGTGGGCGCGCGGCACACCGCGTTGGTGTCCTGTCTGAGCCTGGCTGTTCTCCACCTTCCTATCTAAACGAATTTCACAACAAGACTCCTCGCACACCCACTGGGCACCGGGACTTGCGCGCACTGGCAGTAACACACGAAAAAAGATTTTTTACAAAAGAAAGAGTTGAGCGGCAGCAGTCACCCCCCCAAACCTCGCTAGACAAAGCGTGTCTACAGGTAGATGCGGGCTATACAGGGCGCTCCGTTGGCTCAAACGATAGACATGCACGATGATAGACATGCACGATGATTCGCTCTCTCTCTCTCTCTCCTCACATTTTGTTGGTGTGGCGCGTCATTGGGCCCCACAGTGAGGCACTGCACGACGCCTGATCCACGTAGTCGTGGGCCCGCTTCTGGTGCTGCTTGCGCGGCGTGCCCTCAGTGCTGTCATCGCCCTGTGGCCGCTTCAGCCCTGGTGTGGCCACCGCCGCCTCCGGGTGCCCCAGCAGCACCATCTCGGACGGCTCAAGCCACACGCCACCGGCCCAAAGCCGGGCGGGCACGCAGCCGCCCTCGCACGTGCCCGCCTTGCACTCCTCGCAGAGCCGGCCGTCGCGGAACACATTGATCTGGAGCTTGGTCTGGTTGTCGAGCGGCAACCCCGCCTCATCGAGGTAGGTGCCGTGCAGCCGCTCCTCCGCCGTCGCGATAGCTGGTCGCGACTCGTTGAACGAGGGGTGGAGGGCGACGCCACCGCCGCCCTCCGCCTGCGCGCAGACAGCGAGCAGCTCTTCGTCCATCGTGGAGACAGCGAGGCCAGCGCCGCGCCCCTTGAGGCAGACGATCAGCCTGCACAGCGAGTGGTGCGTCGTGCGCGTGTCGCCGTCCTGGTGCGCCGCGTGCTTTATCGCCGTCTCAGCGGCGCCGCTCAGCCCCGAGCTGTCGGCCACGCCGCGAGTGCCAGCCCAGCTCTTGTTGGGCCCGTGGGTGCGGGAGAAGTTGAGAGAACGAACCTCAGACAGGCCCATGCCAGTGCCGTTGTTGATGCCGTCGCTGCACCCCTTGCACAACCGAGCGAGAGCGGGGCCGGCGCCGCGGTAGCTCGCGAGCTGCTCTTGCCGCGCCTCGTGCGTGCGTGCGGTGGAGCCTGCTTCAGAGAAACGGCCACGCGCTCCGCCGCCCGCGAGCGAGAAGCTCTGCTGCTTGTTGAGGTCGATGTTGACGTTGAGCTGCGGGAGGTGGCACGGCCGGGGATGCAGCATGCCCGAAGCGCCGTGCAGCCCCTGCCGCCCGCCAGCGGCATCGAAGGCGTCGAGGGCGCCGGCCACCTCGTCGAGGAGGTCACCGCCCGCTTCGACGAGGTCAGCAGCCAAAAGAGCGCAGCCGTCATCGCGCGCGAGGCGGAGCCACACCGGCGCCAGCCCCGTGGCGTGCGAGGTCCCCAGCTTCTGCCGGTGCCACTGCAGCCCATCGACGACGCATCGAGTGCTAGCCACTCGCGCCTCCCCGCTGGCCATCGGCAGCGGTGCAAGGGCGGCAGCCCGGGCGTCGCGCCGAACAGCAGCTTCGGCCATGCGCTCCTCGAGGGCATTGACCTCCGCAGCCTGGCGCGCCCGCTCCGCCCGCACCTGCGCCGCCACGTGCGCCGTCGCCGCCTCAGCGAGCGGGTCGGCGAGCGCCACCTCGGCGTCGAGGCGCGACGCTGCCGGCTGCAGCACGGACGCCGGCGCACTCATCTCGTGAGCAAAGCCGTCGACGCCGAGGAGGGTGAGGCGGCAGTCGCGACTGCCGTCGATCGAGACGCAGACAACCCGCGCCACCGCGCCGCCCACGCATATCTTCCGCCAGCCCTTGAGCGAGCCTCTGGTCCCGTCGCCGCCGATCAACAGCCCGACCGGCAGCAGCACCAGGTCGCCGGCCGCAAGCGGAGGCGCCGCGCTGGCCGCTTCCGCCGCCTGGCGCGCCCGCTCCGCCCGCACCTGCGCCGCCACGTGCGCCGTCGCCGCCTCAGCGAGCGGGTCGGCGAGCGCCACCTCGGCGTCGAGGCGCGACGCTGCCGGCTGCAGCACGGACGCCGGCGCACTCATCTCGTGAGCAAAGCCGTCGACGCCGAGGAGGGTGAGGCGGCAGTCGCTCCTGCCGTCGATCGAGACGCAGACAACCCGCGCCACCGCGCCGCCCACGCATATCTTCCGCCAGCCCTTGAGCGAGCCTCTGCGCCCTCCGCCGATCAACAGCCCGACCGGCAGCAGCACCAGGTCGCCGGCCGCAAGCGGAGGCGCCGCGCTGGCCGCTTCCGCCGCCTGGCGCGCCCGCTCCGCCCGCACCTGCGCCGCCACGTGCGCCGTCGCCGCCTCAGCGAGCGGGTCGGCGAGCGCCACCTCGGCGTCGAGGCGCGACGCTGCCGGCTGCAGCACGGACGCCGGCGCACTCATCTCGTGAGCAAAGCCGTCGACGCCGAGGAGGGTGAGGCGGCAGTCGCGACTGCCGCCGATCGAGACAACCCGCGCCACCGCGCCGCCCACGCATATCTTCCGCCAGCCCTTGAGCGAGCCTCTGGTCCCGTCGCCGCCGATCAACAGCCCGACCGGCAGCAGCACCAGGTCGCCGGCCGCAGCCATCTCGAGTTCGTTATATTTCAAAAAATGATGAAACCCCAAGTGCTCCACCCCGAGGTGCTCCAAGATAAAATCAGCGATTTACCGGGGCTCAGGAGCCTTCCACCTCCTGCCCTTCAACGCCAGCTGGTGGTGAAGGAGTGATCGTGTTGCATCACCGCGTGGGCACCTATAACTCGGGAAGACTCGGCGGGTGGGTGGGAGGTTCTCGCGTGCCAGTGCAAGGCCAAGGGCGATCCGCAGGCTTCCACCTCGTCTGCTGCCTCGACCTCATCCTCCTCGCCGGCACCGAATGTGTCTCCAACCGAGCCGATGGCCGACATCTGCACTACGCCGGGCTGTACGGAGAAGAAGAACCCAGTGGAGCAGGTTCTGCTTCTACTGCAAGCAGGGGCGCACCGGCCACATCGACGAGGCCATGGCGGGGTCCAGCAGCTCGCTTCGAGCGTTTCCTCTTCAACGAATGCAACTTCACGCTCCATCTCCATCCATGGTGGACCCTTTGCGGAGACTCGACCGTGTGTGTGACGCACCTTGGATCTTGAGGACGGTGCGTTGTTGGTCCCGAGCAGCAGGGCGAGGGAAGCCTCGGACTGGTGTGCTCGGTCCGTGCGGAGAGCCTGTCCGCTGTCGTCATTGTTGTTCTGTGTCTTAGTGTAGCAGAAGTTCGGTCGCACTTTCATTCATGGCGCCTGGACCGCGCGAGAAGAGCCCGCCACCGAAGAGGTCGAGACGACGCGGCCGCAGTGGGCGATGGCCAGCCGCAGCTGGCAACCCAGACCGCAGCTCCGATTAGATCCAGCCCCGATTAGGTCCAGCTAGAGATCGACATGTTTGAGGAAACAAACGCAACTTGGAGCACTTGGAGTGCAGTCATCAACCTCACATCCAGGGCCAGGGAGCTAAGAATCTTTCTAAGAAGCGCAACCAGCGAGCCGGATGATCGGCATCGGGCTACGGGCTAGAGAGCCCTGACCCCTAGCTAGGGGGGGTGCGCGTTCGCAGGGAAAGGGCCGTAAAGTAAACACGGGTCTCCGAGGGTTGGTTCCGTGTACCGGGTTTCCCCTTAACTTCAGAACGCCCCCTCTACTCGGAGCTAGTAGACACGACACTGAGCTGCTGCTCCTCTCGTACAAGGTCCTCTTCTTTGCACGCTACAAGCCGACCGCAAGAGGGGACATGCTGCCGGGGCTACTGAGGCCCAAGGAGCAGCTGGAGAAGCGCGCCATCGCCTACGCCGTCAATATCCTCGTGCCTCTCAGCTCGGAGGAGGAGTTCAAGAAGGACCGCATCACCTTCACGTCCACGCTGGGCATCATCTTCGAGGAGAATCTGCACCGGCTGCCGTACTAACAGCGCAACGCCGCGTTTGCTCCCGGCGAGGACCCGGTCGAGTACGTCATGTCCTACGTCGGCGACGTCTTCCCTCATGTCAACCAGATTTACAGAGAAAAGACGAGCGACGAGGCGTGCACCCAGCTGGCCTTCTTCGGACTCGGCGCGCACAGAATCGAGGTCGAGACCGAGACCCGCACAGACGAGCACGGCAACGAAGTCGAGGCCAAGATGTACGTCGTGCGCACCAAACAGCTGTCGCAGTTGCCCGTCCGCGAGGGCTTCGAGACGTACGGCGGGGACGCATATTTCGACGCCGAGTGGCGGATTGAGAAGATCGTATTCCAGACCAGAATGAGGAGATCTCGCCACCCATGTGGGGGTCGACGCAGGCACTCCGGTTATAAGCGGGCCAGGAGTCGGGGCTATCCGCCCAAGCAAGGTAGGCCGGATAGTGCTCTGTGCGCTGTCCGTCCCCATCGACGATCTGAAAGACGGGATAGTGCGCCTCGACGGCAGAGAGGGAGGAGAGCAGGCCTGGCGGCAGGGCGTGCGAGATCTGCAGCAGCGCGGCGGCGTCGAGCACTCGCGTGACCCGGTCCCATCCCCACGGGCGGCGCTCCATGCTCATGTGAAAGGCCCACATCGGAAGCTCGACGTAAGCATCGGAGGGAGCGCTACCCACGATGGAAGAGGCCTTAACGTAGAGATGCAGGTCGATGGTCTGCATGGTATTGTCGGTGAAGCAGAAGTCGAGCATCGCTCGGTTGTCCAGCGCCGAGCTAAAGACACCGCTCGTGCCGCTTGCGGAAACGTCCATGAACGTCCAGTGGCCCGCTGCGCCTCCATAGATTGGCACGCGACCGACGCATCGCGTGGCCGGGTCCCAACCCGCGCCGTCACCCCACGTGACGAGCAGTTCGTCGGCCGAGCTCTCAACGACCTGTCTGTACTCGGGATCGGAAGGCTGCGGGAGGTGCACGCCTCGCTGGTCCATCCACCAGATCCCGTGCAGCGACGCCGGGATCGCCGACCCGGTGCGAGCATACGAGAGCTCGTGCTCGACCTGATCGTTGCGGATCCGGTGCAGCGCGAACGGCCCCTATGCGTCAGCTTGATGCGGATGCGCGCTCCACGCTCTCACCTCTCAGCTCTCTCCCTCTCGGCACTCGGGGGCCGGCGGGGGCGTCGCGCGTCGGGGGGCATGTGGGGAGACGGGCCCCCCCTCGCCCCCTGGCGTCGCGCGTCGGCGCTCTCTCGGCGGAGCTTCGACGCTCCACTCACCCTCCAACCGCACCTGTACAGTCGCTAGCGAGCTCTCGAAGTATAAAAGGTAGGGTGAGAGAGAGAGAGAGAGCTCGGAGCTCGCGCGAGAAGCGCGAGTCCGAGAAGGCGCGTGCGCACGTGTTCTGCTGTTCTCGCACACTGCAACGGGCATCTTTGACGTCGGCCGCTTTGGGTAGACGGGCATGCGCATGGACATGGGCACATGCACAAGGCACAACGCGACCGTACAATATGTTTGAAGAGCGTCCCAGACTCATGCAGAGGTGCCGCCCCGCACGCCGCACCCCGCGGCCCGCCCGCCGCGCCCGCGCACCCCCGGGGCTAGGGCTCTCTTGCCCGCAACCCGATGCCAATCATCCGGCTCGCTGGGTGTGCTTCTCAGCCCCCCGGCCCTGGATGTGCGGTTGATGACTGCACTCCAAGTGCTCCAAGTTCTGGACTCCTCGCTTGAGCACTTGAGCACTGGATAGGGTCGGATTCCGCATGGTACAGGACTCCTCGTCTAAGATGAAGATCGAGCGCGTCGAGAAGCGCGTCGAAGCGCGCGTGAAGTAGGTCGGAGCCTAAAGAGAGGAGTCGAAGAGAGGTGCCCGACTCCAGCATACAGAGAGTGACGGGCGAGGTTGGTGGGGTATGCAGGGCGGAGCCGCGGCGAGAAGGCTCATACACGTTCGCTTCTCGCTCCATCTTCTGCGCCGTGGCAATTCATGGAGCGCTTGGAGTGCGGTTGGTAGCACTTAAAGAAAGAAAGAAAACAGACAATCCAAGGGAGGGATGGGAGGACGGCACCGCCTCGCTTCAGATGTACCTTTAGATGCGCTCTGATGTATTGTGTGGCTTTTGGACCATGTCCACGGGCATGCCACATGGACATGGATACGTTTGTTAGGACTTATCTTATTTATTTGAGTAGACGTAAGGTTGCCGTGTGAGTGAGTATTCTTGATACGAAACCACGACGACACACACCAGTCGACTCGCATCGGTTGCCTCCACACACTCACACACGTAAGGTTGCCCCACCCCGCCGGCACGCGATCAACACGCCCTCAGAGCCTGTGAGTAATAGACCAGCTACAAAGAAAAAGAAAATGCTCGCGCAGGTCCGTCGGCCAAGCCCACATGTGGCGTTTGCTCGTGCTTCTCTTGCTCCACCCTGTCTCCGCCACAGAGCTAGCCAGCCTTAAGGAGGACGAGGACGCTTACGCGGGCGAGGCATCAACGGTCGACGGCCAGCTCATAAGCCTCGTGCAGGCGAAGGGCGCAGATGATCCTTCGCTTGTGTCTGAGCTGCTCAGCAACGGCGCGTCGCCGTCGGCGAGCGGCCTGTACAACTATACGGCCATCATGTGGGCTGTCGTGCGGCACAAGGTCGCGACGCTTCAAGCGCTTCTCGATGCCGGCGGCGACCCGTCGCCAACCAACGCCTGGAGCCGACACACACGCTTGGCCGGAAGCATCCCGTCGCGGTGTGCGTAGGGGCCGCGACGCACTGTTCCTCGCTGCCTGGGAAGGCGAGCCGATGGTGCGGCTGCTCATCGACCACGGCGCCGATGTGAGCGCCTGTGCTGAGCACGATGAGTGGACGCCGCTGCACAAGGCTGCGGAGAAGGGCAGCCTGCCGGTGGTGGCGATGCTCCTTGAGGCGGGAGCCGACCCGCACGCCCGCACGTTGCCCGACAAGACCTTCGAGGACGGCATTGTGCCCGTCGATCTCGCCCGTCGCAAGCTCAAGAGACTGGGGAAGAAGAAGGCGCCGGGCGAGGCGGCAGAACTGCGACAGCTCATTGCGCTGCTTGTGCAGCACAGCCAGGGGGAGAAGGAGGAGCTGTAGGAGCGATATTCTGGCTCGCCCCGCGCGCGGTTGCCGGCGGCCGCCATCAAGACTAGGACGGACGCCGATTTTTGTGAGTGATTGTTTGTGAATGAATGAAAAATGGGTAGTTAGTCGATCGAACGTCGAGGATCGTGGATCAAAAGCATGATACAAGAGCGATATCAACCATTGCAATTCACACACAAGACACCGACACACAAGCTCTTTCCATTCAGCTGTGTTTGGCCGACGGCCACGGCCTGAAATCCGCCGAAATTCTTCTCCTCTTGAGGAGCTCGGCAGCTCTTCTCTGGGTTGGTTCTCTTCCCTGGTCCGCATCCGGAGTCTGGCAGCCGATGCAGACCCTCAGTGCCCAGTGCCACAAAGCGGCAGAGATGATGGCCAAATCTACGGCCGAGCAAGATAACGAGTCCGAAACTACGGCGGAGCGAGACATCGATTCCGACTTTCTCTCGCAAAGCTCTTACGTAGATGAGGATGATGACGCCGGTGACGCCGAGATCGACGACGAGATCACAGCGATCACCGCATCGATGGTTCACTGCAACCACCACCACCACGGCGACGCTGCCGTAGCAGATCCTGAGTCGCGGAGCGCCGCGTCATCCTGCGACGACCGTTCGGCTCGAAAGCGTGCCCTCAACGGGAACAGCGACGAGCACCGACGGTGGACGTGCTGGCGCCAATCGAGCGTCTCGCAGAGCTCCGAGTCGAGCGAGGTTGCCAAAGTAGGAGAGCACGCACAACAGGCACGCAGAACGACTCACTAGTCCGTCTCTCGTCGTAGGTGCGCTCGTCCACGAGTAGCGTCTGCTCGTCGAGAGAGTCGACCAAAGGGTGGGGCAGTCTGCCGGCCGCGACCAAAGGGTGGGGCGTCTTGCCGGCCCACGCCTCGGGGGCTCCAGCGGGGCCAGACTCGGGGCCAGGCTCGGGGCCAGGGCCACTCCTCGGCCGGCTGCCAGAGGATTTTGGCACATGGGGCATGCCTTCGTCGGGGGGCGGGGGACGGGGCTCCGGCTGAGATGAGCCGACACGTTCGTGCGGGTTTACAGTAAACCACAAAGCTTTTTTTTCTGTAGGGATCCGTGGTGAGCAGATTTCCAGATTCACTTGTGCGTATTACATGTAACAGTTTAATTCTCCCCTGCCGTATACTTTTGTGTGAGAGGAGACTAAGGTAAGCTAACTAAGGTGCTCCTGCTCGAAGCTAACTAAGGTGCTCCTGCTCGACTGCCGCTCGACACACGAGTCACGACAGTGTGCAGGCCCCGCAGCTCCAGCACAACGACTCCCCTACGTGCTACGACAGCAGGCCGTCCACCCCCGAGAAGACGTGAACAGTGGCAGTGGGGGGGCGGAGTCGCTAGAGCTGTCCCCCCCTCGGACCTTGGGCAGGCGGAGCTTTCCCAGTCCATCGATCGAGCCGAGCGGTTGCATGTATGTACAGCAATCAGCATCAGCTTTACGCGGCCTGCGAAGGCTTTGACGTCGCTTGGCGTCATTTTTACGTTTGAGATGAAAACAGATATTAGCGATCAGATTCTCAGCCAGTTAATAGGTGGGACAGCCCGTCTCGCAGACAGTCAAAGAAGTGAGCGAGGTGCTTGGCAGTTGGCTCTTGGTCTTGCTTCATCGTTAATGCATAATGGATCATGCTTGCACGAACCGGGTTTGCAATCTTTCTCTTTGCTTGATGTATTGAGAGCTTGTGTGGAACGACCTCATGTGTACGTCATATCATTGTGTCTCTCTGTGACTGTCTCACTAAGATACAGGCCAGATATGTGGCCCAGTCACGGTGCGGCCCTGCGCGGGCGCGGTCAACAGACAACACGAACTCACGTCACGCGTCAGGGACATCCTCCGTGACCCTCTTTCGTATTCTTACAAAATACTGCATAGTGCATTGCCCTTGCAATGCCCGACCGCGTCGCCTCTCCCACATTCAAGACCCGCCTCCCACCTGCCGGTCCGGGGGCGTCACCAGCCAGGTCGACGCGATGCGGCCCGTGATGGTCTCGTAACTCGCGAACCACCTATAGATAGAGAAGCCAGCGGGCTTCGCTCTGAGCGCCCCGTTATGTGTGTGCTCGACGCATGCGCCCTCTCGCCTCTCCATCTCGGCGTGCAGCAGCATCCGCACCAGCGCTGTGCCGCGGTGGGCGTCCTCAAGCGAGCCGTAGCGGCTCTGCGTGAACCAGCCGTCGCCTGACTCGTCCGACATCACGAGGCGGCCGTGGTACGAAATTCCCGCCGCCTCCATGCCGCGGCTCAGCCGCTCCTCAAAGCCCGGTGTGAGGACCGCCTCCTCCACCTCGGCCCTTGCCGCTGCATCCCGGAAGATCATGCGCGAGTACCGCTGCCCCATACCAATTTGGTAGGCGCCAGCTCTTGTGTCGGAGAGCGTGTGCTGGCCAACGCCCCACATCCACGTCTCGCCGCTCGGCATGCTGCCCGCTTCCTCAAAGGCCGCGGCGTGAGCGGCGTAGTACGTGCCTCCCGGCGTCAGTGCGTGTTTCACAAACCAAGTGCGATAGTTGGAGTAGGACTCGGCGCCATCAAAATACGCGCAGTTGAAGGCGCGGCCATCGTCCGTCTCGTGAGATACGATCCGGTACGGCCGCGATGTCTCCTCAAGGCTGCGTATCGCCTGCAGAAGCGGCGGAACAACCAGCATGGCGTTGGTTCCACTCAGCGAGTGCTCGAAGGGGTTGACGACGGCGAGGACGGTCTTGGCGCTTGTCGGCGTGGGCATAAACGCAAAACGACGCGCAGTCGGCCGATTCAGCACGCGTCTCATGACCGCTCCTCGAGAAGGCACGCGCCTCGTGACCCTGGTCGGAACAGCAGAAGGGGAGTGCCAGCGCGGTGCACTCCACCAAAAAAATCCGGAAAAACTCCCTCGTCCCGCCGAGTGTGCGTATCCTATGCGAGAGAGATCAACTGTGCCCTGTGCCCAGCCCTCTCCGCGCCGCGATGCGCCCTCCCCCCTCGCTTTTGCAAAATCCTGCGGAGGTGGGGGGACGTGTGTGTCTGTCCTCGACCCAGCCCTACCTAGCTTGGGATGTCCGTTTTATTTATTGAGCGAGCGAGGGAGTTGCTCTGGCTCCCTCACCGCCCCGTTGCGCACCTTGCCTTTGAAGCCGTCCGCCTTCAGCCACAGGTTAAACTTCACTTGGTGCTCCTTGTCGGAGGCGAAGTCCTTGCGGTGCGGCATCGTCACTACGGACACAGAGCCCGCCGGAGTCTCCCGGGCAATTTGTTCGGTGCCGCGCCAGCGGGCCTTCTTGATGAGCGAGTCGTGCTTCGCGGCCGTCGCCGCGATTCCCGTGCCGCCGCCACGGAAGGTGGCACGTGCT